AATTACCCAACCATATTTATTTATATTATAAGCACATATTTTTTATTTAAACAAAGAAATGGAAACTAAATGAAAATTTAAATAAATTTTACGGGATATATGAAGCTCGAATAATAGTTTGGCAATACATTTACACTTTATGATCTTTTATCTTTTCTTAATCTTGTGAGAAGAAGTAAACTTAAATTACTTCATTGCTTTCTTACACAAGGTGCATGCATAGAGATCCGTGAATATGTTAACGTGGACAACGTGCACTTCGGTTGTTATTGAAGTAAAGCTAATTAAGATCATTAAAGTTTAATTACTATATAATAATTCTTATTAATAATGGTGACATTATACAAGGATTAAATCATTAAACCAAGCTGTCATGTGGTGTTGTTGTTGTTGTTAGAGGTGAACATCGATGCGGTTTGGTATCGAATATTTTGGATTTCTTCACCGAACCACACCGCAATAGAAGAAACAACCGAATCGAACCGAAAATTTTAGTTCGGTTTGGTGCATTTTTTCGGTTAACTGAAGTTAGAAAAGGATAACCACAAATTAATGTTGAGAGTGAAAATCAGGGAAATAAATAATAGGAATGAAAATTTTTACTTTTAAGTTTAAACGTAAATGTTTACGTGATGTTATATCCAAATTTTTACTCACAAATAAGTAAAAGTGTAAAACTAAAGTGACAATTTTATGATATTCGCTGTGGTTCGGTTAAAACCGCACCATTCAGGTAAAAATCGAACCGCACCTAAATATTTGCAATTTTTCAAAACTCAAACCGCACCGTTAATCGAGCTCTTTAAAAACTGCACCGAACCACACCGAATAGCTCGATTCGGTTCAATTTTGCTCACCCCTAGTCGTTGTTAGCTTATGCTAATTCACGTGAACAAGTCATAAGAGGTTAAGACAAATGAAAAGCCTTTTATTTAATTTCAAGTTTGTAAACATTAAATTTGTAATAAATAGATCCATTTGTAGCAACTTAGGCCTCAAGTCTCGAACCTTCTTTTGAAACTTTTAGCCCAAAAGGGCCCAAATATCAGGTCATAAATGAACCTAACTTATTAATCACCTTGTGGTCTCGTGTGTGATTAGTGTGCAAAATTCTGGTTCACTACACACCATTTCATTGAGAATGTTTGATAACGTGTTATAAATAAGCTCGCCTCCTTTGTAAGTATTCTCCCAAACCTAAACATGTCTTTGGAAACTTTAAGCTAGTGGTATTAAATTAAACGAGTTTAGCTCGGTTTGATTTGTTAAGGCTCAAGTTCAGCTCGACTTATTTAATAAACGGCTGAAATCGAGCTTATTTATAGCTCGTTTGGTTAATGGTCGACTCGATAAGGTTTGAAAAGAGATTTTTGTATATAATTTTCTATAATTTGACTCGTTAAAGTTCGAAATCGGCTCGTTATGTTTTAGTGATAATTAAGCGAGTCGTGCTCGAGCTTGATTTGAAACTCGTTGACGACTCCAGCTCGAATACGAGTACCATAAGCTCGAGCTCGTCTCAGCTCGTATGCAACCTACTACTTATGGCTCCAAAGCATGCCTACCAAGCTAAAGATAAATTTAACTTTTTTAACCGTTAACGTGCATGGTATCATGTTCGAGCAATGTATATTTACCTACTTATAGTTTACAACAAAAGCAGCTTAAACACTAAAAAAAAAAACTCTTACAATTTCTGTTGGAATTCTTTATATTTTCCGTTGGAATAGCTATTTCAACGGATATTCCTACGATAAAAATTCGTGGGAAAAATGACCGTTGGAATAGCTAAAATCCAACGGAAAATCCTATGGAAATAAATTTCTGCAGCTATTTCAACGAAAAAAATCTGTTGGAATTCTTCAACCATCCAACACTTATTTCAATATAAAATTGTTGGAATATTCATTGGAATTTCCGACGGAAATTTTCACCGTTGAATTTTTCGTTGGAATTGAAGTGTTAGTTGGAATTGAAGTGTTTTCTTGTGACGAAATTTATTGAAATTTTGGAGAAAATACAAAGTGAACAACGTAACTTGCACGGTTTATTATGAGGTTCTCATTCACATGGAAAATATCAAATGTGTAACAAAATCTCCCAACTTTTTGAAAGAAGATATGCTATGCTTGTCCGCAAGTGCTTTCAAGAAATATTTTTCTTCTTATCTTTTAGGAGTTACCTTTTCTTAATATAGTGTAAGATATATGTTAGAATAAGGCCACACTTAAGAACTCCAAATGGTACTCATTTTGTGTTGGTAATTGACGTCACTACAACAAAATGATAAAATTTTAAAGAAAAAATCGATATAAATATATTTTAATGGAATTCTATCGGAAATTTCAACAAAAGTATCATGTTGAAATGAGTTTTTCGTTTGAATTCTCGTTGAATTTTGACTATTCCAACGGAGGTGGAAATAAAAATTCTAGCAGAAATAATTGCATATTCCAATGGTAAGAAACCGTTGGATGAATAGTCATTGGAATTATCAAATTCCATTTAAAATTTCAATATTAAACTAATTTCAATGGAATATTTTCGTTGGAATTTCTATTAGAATCATTTCAATGGAAATACTATTCCATTGAAATTTCCGTAAAAATTTTTGTTGGAATATATTAACGTAGGATTTGTTGTTGGAATATAACAATTTTTTGTAGTGTCATGTTTATATTATTTTTTTCCTTATTACATCCATATTAAATTTATTAATTACACACACCTTTACAAACAAATTGACCAGAAGGAAACGAATTCAAGAAAACATATCACATAGTATTAAATGTTATTACGATTGTGATTTTATCTCTAGTAATATGATATTAAGATTATACTTTAAGGCACGAGCATTATTATTAAGTTTCACTAAACACGTAGAAAGGGACAAATGGACTATATAGACGTTCTTGAATTGCCAAATAATGAAAAAATAAAATCATTGTGTTTAGCCGACTTAATAATCATTAAGAACGTTCTAGTCTAAATATATGCATTTTTTTTTTTATCATAAAGTACTATATAAAAAATAATATTTGATTATACAAATGTGTACTTTTGTAAACAAACTGATTGGAAACTATTCAAGCGCTCACAACAGTCTACGAGCGCTCAGGTCAAACCTCAACTAAAATTCGATCAAATTTGAGTTAGATCAAACTCGGGCCGCTCGAACCAACAATCAAGCGCTCAAACTCGAATCCGAGCTCCTCTTTTTTAGCGCTTGATAAAGAGCTCAAATACACATATTCATAAATCGATTCACACAAGAATCTTTAAATATTATATATGGTTAGTGGATAATGTTTATCTACTCACGGTGAGCACATGTTAATATGCCCATTGTTTATGTGGCATGCACACATTGGTGATGTTAATATGTTAAAAGAAATACATCACAATGTATGAGTGTCACATAAGTGGTGACCATATTAACATGTGCCCACCGTGGGTAGGTGAGCATTACTGACGGTTAAGATATCATTACAAAACATAATCACATGCTAGCCAAAAAATAACTAAAAAAGTTCATAAATACAATACTTGAGCCATACATATTGGTCACACATTAAAAAGTAGTTTGATCACCAAGAACGCTTGAATGAGATGACTTGAGTCTCTTCCAGCTTAACCAGTGATCTCGTGTTCGAGCCCTGAGAATGCAGCAGTGTTAAAACTCTTGAGGGAGAGCTTTGCCGCCCTTGTGATCCTACCTGGC